TATCTTCTCTTCCAGCCCTATCTTAGTGCCGTAGAGTGCGGCTGAGGACTGGTTGTGGAGGACAGGGATGCTTTAAAGCGTTCATTCCCTCTTTAGGTTTGTGTCCTTCTCCTGTATTCTTATCTTTGCAACCTCTTAACAGTTAAATCGAGATGATCAGCAATAAACCGGTGTTTGAGTTGGTGTGTGACTTGGGAGAGTGTTTTCTTTTTGTGGAGAGCCGAGGGTATGAAGCAGGATTTCCCTTTGCGTTAATTGTGATACAGTTTTGACCGTGCGTAACGGTGACCACCTCCAGATCAAACTGACGTTTAGCAAAGGATGGGTTGTGAAAGGTAATCCTTTGCCATGTGATTATTTCATTACCATTCAGTTTTATATAGCACAGGGCAATTCTCTGCTTTTGAGGAAAAGTTCGTGGGTGTTTCAGTGCTGGAGAAGCACCTGCAAGCCCTCACGGCTGTGTTTTGACTGCAGAACTGTCAGTGCTGGGGACTGAACCTGAAAAGCATCAAGTCCCTCTCGTATTAGGGGAGGGCAGTGCGATGGAAACAAGTGAACTTGGCCTGGCACCCAGAGTTAATTTGCAGTTTGAATCCAGCTATGGAAAAGGGATGCAGGGAAGGAAGCAAATTTTTCACGGTGTCAGACTGTGGCGACCTGCCCTGGGCAGGGGAACTCATCCAGTCTGAGAGCAGAGCGGGTTGTGATCTGGATTCACGTTGCCCTCTTGTCTGCAGCTTTTGGGCACCTGTTACCTCCATGCGTGGGGGAGAAGTTGTTTTTAGAAAACTTACCTACATTTAAAGGCAGTGAAAAGATGGGGAAAGTCCTCTTATTGTGCACCGTCCTCTCCAGGGCCATAGTACTGCAGTAGGCATTGGTTCTTCCCAGTGAGAAACACAGCAGAGGAGCCGACCTTTCTTAAAATCAAGTTAAAACTTTCTCTTATCCTTTGTCCTGCATTGTGAAAGAGCAAAACTGCAAGTGGGTAAAGGTTGAAGAGGGCATCCAAGCATGGAATGCGGTGGGGGAGGGCGAAATGCTGGCTCTACCAGTGCAAAAATGCTAGGAAATAAATGGGATTTTTTTTGTAATGAGCATCTGATGGGAGGGAGCTTACCTGGCTCTTGCCAAATAACGTTCAGAGTCGTAGCTCTGACCAAAGAGGGGCTGCAAATGTGGGGTTTGAATCTGCCACGGAAACATGCTCTTGTGCTCTTTGCCTTTCCCAGCAGCACCGGCAGCAGTCCCCGCACGTCTTCAGAGCTGGGTCCCGGCACAGCGTAAGAGATCTGCAAAGCGCTTTGCCTCTGTTGCTGGGAGACAGTCGGAGGGAGCTGGGGCTGCTTGAACAAACACGCTTTTCTCCTCGCCTCCTCTCTTCCCTCCCCACCTATGGGTGTTTGTTTTTTTTTCCCCTCTTGGTGACTGGTTATAGGAAAAGCTTGGCTGGAACCAAGTGATTCTTGCTCCAAATGATCCCATGAGACTAAAGAACCTCACAGGCTTCCAGATGCGCTGAAGTAAATGTCTTTTAGATAAAGATCCCAGACAGTAGGTACAAGAGCGGCTCCAGCTTAGAAATATACCTTGTAATGAAGATAATTGACATAAATCTTCAAAGCTTAATGCCCTTAAACTTCTGGAGCTTGAACTGAATTGACCTCGAGACCCAAATTCTGCAGCGAGCCCTCAGGGTTGTGGCAGTTATCCCAGAAACCCTGCCGCAGCTTGGGTTCGGTGCCTGCCTATGGAAGTGAATAAAACAGTCAGTACCAAAGTCCTTGGTCTTATTTGGAAATGAGGCTTGTTTTGCACCGTCCCTGTATTTCCCTCCAGTCTTGCATGGCCTTTATGTACCGATGGTACATAAGGGCACCGTGAAATTTCAAGGCTTTGCTGGGGAGTTTTTGCTGCTTCGGAGGGGCAAAAGCAGATAAAGCAGGTGGTTCTTGCCAAAATGGTGACTGGCAAAAATGTGCATCGTGAGACCTAGGTTACCTCTGCATTCCAGTCACTAACCTCTGCTGAGAAATATGAGGCAGTTAATACTTTTCAGTTGTGTCACATTGTCTACAGGCTTGAGCAGAAGCTGCTGCATCGCTCACGCGTCCTTCAGGCTCTGTCACAACTAATGAGAAATGGAAAAGTTCTTTAAAACCGAGCCCGTGGAGAGGAGCGGGACTGATGGAGTGAAGGTGACTGCCACAAATGCCTCCAACAGAGGGAAACAGTTAAAAGGCCTGATTAGGGTAGAAGAAAAACTCAGCATCACAAGGCAGACTTTAAATTCCATTTTTTCCTCTTAACTGGTTCCAGTTTAGCTGATCCCACTCTTCTGTTGCTGATACTGCAGAGTTGCTGATTTACACAAGAGCCTTAGGTTAGCTGACAAAAAAAACCCCAACTTTTTTCTTGCAGTTCTCAAAGCTGTATTTCTGGGGCTTCCTTATTCAGCCACACTGAGTCTAAATAGCAAGATCAGATGACACGATGACTAGCTGTGTAATTTTTATCTGAAGCAACGGCTAGTGATGCGAGCAGTTGCAAAATGAACCACCCTGTCTCTGTTTCATTTTTGTCATTTAAGGGCTGCCTCTGTCCACTTGCAATCGGGATATTTTTGCCTCTTATGTGGCCTCATCCTTTTTTAGTGCCTCCTTTTAAACTTGAACTTAAAACACAGAATCCCATTTCTTGTACAGATAGCTTGCAGTTTTTGATTAAAGTTCTGAATGACTTGTCTTCTGTAAGTAAAAGCTTTCATGTCCCAGGCTATCATATCAATTCTCCTTTGTCATTTTTTACCCTCCTGTGAAACCAGGGATCTGATCGCTCATCCTGCCACCCTGTTAGCGACTCCGTTAGCCCTTGTGTCAGCGTCTGATGGCGCCTGGCTTTGTCCGAGACCTGCACGGCCCCAGCAGCCCGATGGAGAGCCCGGCGCTGGGGTCAGGTATTGCCCAGCTCTTTTAGCAAAGGTCACATTCGAGTTCTGGTTGTGTCCAGGGGCAGAAGAGCGATGGACGCTTTTGCCTTATGTGCCGCAGGGCAGCGTGCCGGTGGCAGGACCCACGCATCCAGCGACTTCAAAACCCTTCCTTTAGCTGAAATCTCTTTTGAGAACGTACTTCGCTTCTCTTCCATACATGTTTGAATTCTGATTATTGCTTTTTCAGGCTGGTCTTCAAAGCTCCCAGTAAACTAGCATTAACTGTATTTCAAGCCCAGTAGAAGTGCTCGTCCTCATGGTTTTCTAGGGGCAGAGGATCCATATCCTTTAATGACTCTTCTATAGATCGCATGAATGCCTTCTCCCTGGTGAGATTTTAATGCTACAAGCGCACTGCCTGTCTGCTCCCCATAAACAGGAAGGACTTTATTGGCGATCTGACTTGGCAGGAGCTTTTTAAGACTGTCTGTTTTTTTTGTTTCACCAAAAAAACCCCTCCCTAGTGGAGTTCAGCTTCAAGCTGCCATTGATTTTGATTGGAAGTCAAACTCCGGGCTCCCCGCAGCGTTTCCAGGAGTCCCGCTCGCCGGCCAGGCAACCTTGGGAGCTCGTGCAGCTGCACCAAGCAAAGCATCGCGCTGGGATGCAGGCAGTGCAAAGGCGGCTGGGGGATGAGGTCCAGGAAAACTTGGACTCCTTCCCCAAATCTATCCTTAAAAGACCAGAAAAAAAAAAAAAAAAAAAAAGTTGTGTAAGAGTTGGAGTTTATTCCCCCCCGCTGTCTGTTGCCAGTCGATGTATCGGCGTTGCCTTCAGCAGCAACCGCTCTGAAGTGTCTCGCAGGAATATCTTCTTGGGAGATTTCGGTTCAGGAATCTCTCACTGGGGGCTCTTTATTTAATTTTTTTTTTTTTTTAAATTTTCTGCTCTGTTTTAGATTGAAGACTGGGGTAAGCAACCAAACCTGAGCCTCTTCAGTGTTTCATTGCTCTTTGGAAAATGGTGGGCTTTAGTGCTTTAGATTATTGAAAATTATGAATTGACTAACTGAGTGCAATTTATCAGGTCTTTCATAACAGAACTAACCTAGTAATTGTCACTGTTGGTTTTTCCCTCGCAGCATTGCATTAGAAAGCCTCGATTTACAAATTCTGCTGAAGAGTTTTTGTTGAAAAGTTTCTAGTCTCATTTGACAAAGTATCCTGTAGGTTGTATGAAAATTGCAACTTGCTTTTTTTTTTTTTTGTGGCAAATGCAGTCATTTATATGCAACTCTTAAGTGGACTTGAAAAGACACCATCTCAGGCAGTAGTTCTTACCTTTTTTTCTTAATTGCATGAGGTTTGCCTTGAGCTATTGACTGCGAATCGCTTAAATCAGGGGATGAAATTGTCTTTAGCTCCCTCTCCTGGGTAGTGAAGGCATTTGCCCCCACGATGTTGCTGCTTTTGCAAACTCGATCTATTTTCAAACTCTTTCTAAGCATCTCCGCTCTCAGTGGAAGTGGTGAGGAGCACAGCGTCCATGCACAGGATTGGGAAATGCGATGGTTTAAAAAAAAGAAAAAAACCCAAACCAATACAAAAATACCCAACACAACCCAGACTGAGGTGAAGCCAAGTTTATTTTCGGCATGCTGTGAAAGAGTTAGTGAACTGCATTTCTTAGGCTTTGCTGCTGGTGAAGGTGTGGCTGCATGTTTGTACCGGGTGAGCTGAGGAGTTTGGGGTTCTTTTCCTTCTCCCTAATTTTATGCTCCAGAGGGATGGTTTTGTTGGAGCTGCTTATTTTCAGGCACTGGCAAGTTGTGGAAGGGAAGGCTCTGTGGAGTCCCAACCTCTACGCATCCCTCCTGAGTCATCCATCCTTACGAAGACTTTTCCAGGCAAGGTGTTAAGGGTACCTTTTCTGGGTCAGAGGTACCTTAACATCCTTTCCTTGGATTTCTTCGGCAGTCGCGTGGCAGGTGAAATCCCGGGGCTGCCTTTAACTTTTCCTGAGGCTTTATGAATAATGCAGCGTGTGCTTTTTTTTTTATTTTCAGATTGAGAAAATCATGAGTTCCATCGGCGAAGGCATTGACTTTTCTCAGGAGCAGCAGAGGATCTCAGGTAGCGTACCCAGCTCGTGTGTTGTCTGTCTTGGTTGTGCTCTGTACAAAAACAAGGTGCTGGCTCCTGCGTGCAGAGCTCTTTAACCTGCTTTGGCTCTCAGAAGGGAAAGAAAGGCTCTGGCACAGAAGGAGCAGACCTCGGCTTCCCAGTGTAACGCTCAATACTGCTACCAGCAATTTTCATTCAATACTCCCCTAGGTAGATTCATTTAACTTCATATAATGCAGCTGTCCTTCCCTCCCAGCAGGCTTTTGAGGGAAATGGGCTGGGTGAAGAGCATCGCAGCTGCTACCCCCAGCCTGATGGGAAAGGGGGGGACCCCAATTACCCCAGTGTTGATTAATACTCACCCAGTGACAGCAGCGTGTGTGTGGAGGGGATCTTGTTTCTTGTTGAAACTGCCTGCTTATAGACTTTGGGGCTTAGTATTACTGTTCAGGATATGGTAGATTTTGTGGTGATGTTTTACATCTTTGAATAGCGTTAAACAAAGGCTTATTGCTGAGAATTGTGGAGTTCTTCCGATACCTGGACTCCTTATAGTCCTTCCCTTTAGGTGGAGGTGAATGTTGCTGGCTTGTGTGAGTGGTCTGGGACACTTCTTGTGCTCCTCTGCAAGCTTGCGGCAGTAAAATCAGTTCTGGAGCGGCTGGCTCGTTGCCCCTGCTCGCACAGCCCAATAACCGCTGTGTTCTGGTACTTAAAACTTCACAATTTCGCTCAATGTGTAGGAGGAAGATCAGGTTTTCTGCACGTACAGAAAAAATCTAATTTGCAGCTGAAAGATGGTGTAGGGACTCCAGCCGGTATCCTAGGGATAGAAAGTTCTACTGATCTCCCGGCTCCTACAATTACTGCTGTTCTCGACATAGCCTCTGAGAAAGTCGAACTGATTGCTTACGGTTCTCTCCTGCCTTTCAGAACGTTTGTCTCGAGTTTCTGTTCTTCTCTGGTGGATGGCAACAAAATTTTCTTTAAGCAGTCCGTCTGAAACAGAGCCGCTGCATGTTTGTCTTCTGGCTGGTCTCACGATCCCCACAACACTCTTGCTTTTGTTTCAAATACGTAACGCAGTAGCGAGATGCTCTTTTTTCTGGCTTTTTTTCCGTTACGTAAGTGTGGGTCTGTCCCTTCGGAAATGAGCAGAACCTCTCTGTAGCCCTCCACATTCTAGTGTTTTGTTCTTTAAGGCTCACAAAATCCTTTCAGCCCTGGGAGGACAGGGTGGGGATTTTGTATTTAGAGTGGTACATCAGAGTGACTGTAGCCAAGATATCACATATCCCCCTTACCTCCATGGCAATTCACCCATCCCGGCTGCATGTTCACTGCTGGGCACGTTTGGAAATACAGCTGCTCTGCGGGCACGGTTGGGATGGTTTTCCTCTGGGTAAGACGGCGGCTGATGGGGAAGCGCGGGCTCGGAGGGGCTGTCTGGCCGCCGGTGGGGTTCAGTGTACATTGGGTTGTGTGAGAAGGTGTCCTTTAGAGGCTGGTGGGTTTTCACAGATTAAGAAACGTGTCCTGGGGACCAGGAACGCTTGAGCAAAGCCTGTGTGGGGCGAAGGGTCCTGCTCAGGCAGTTTGTCTTAACTGGAGCTTACCAAGAGCCAGGTTTTAGCTTGGTTGCGATAGAATAAGGTGTAAAGAGCTGCTAACGCCACCCAGCCTCTAAAACAAACCGTCCGGAGTAGCTGGGGTGTTGCGGTGATTTTTCCAGCAAAACTACTGTTTTTCTGCAGCCCATAACATGTTTTTGCCAGAATATTTTAACATTTCTTCTCCAACTTTCCACCTGTAAAACTCTAGATGCCCTATCGTTGCTTCAAATCAGATAAAACTCATCACAGTGTTTTTTCTATATATTTCACCTACATACTTCTGTGACCTTGAAGTACGTAGTTTTATTAATTTTATAATAAAACTTTATAAATAGCGTGTGAGATGATTTTAGTTGTGCATTTTGTCTTTGCTTTTTCCAATTTCCATAAAACAAGGTGAAGAAGGAATCATGGTGTCATTTAGTGCATTGATTTTCCTCAAACAGAGCAACGTCCTCCTCCAGCCATGTTACAACTATTGTAACTCTCGTATCCGCATTGCAGCATTAGAGCGACGGGAGACGATCCTGGGTTAAAACACTCTCATTTCCATAACTGTTGTACGTAGAGGCGGCTGGGGTGGGGGACAGCGAGCCCTGTGCCGAGTTCGTGGTCAGGATCCGGACTGAAGCAGCAGAGCCGGAACCAAGTCTCAGTTAAAAATCTTCCTCCGTTGCTCCTGCAGTGACCTAACTGCATGCCTTGGCTCTGCACATCAAACAGGATCGCTTTGCAGTTTTGCCAGCTTTTTTCCTATACTTTTCGTTCCTTCTTTTGAGGAAAGTAGATGTGAAGGGGAGGTGGAACTAATAGAGGAAGGATGCTTTGATATCAGTGCAAATATCCCTAGACGTGTCTCCATACTGTTTGCAGAGTGGGGAAATAACCTAGCCCTTTCCCAGCTGACTGTCTCAATGCTTCTACATTTCCGAGCTTCTCGGGAGGTTTATTTTAATTCTTCTCCTCCCGGGATGCAGCTTCACTCTGGAAACCAGCAGTTTAAGGAACCTGTCCTCTCTGCTGCTGCAGGCAGAGCCGTGGGTCCTCGGGAGCGTTGTCTCCCATATGGAGCAGAGTCCGTGGTCTTCAAAGGAGGAGATAATTGCTTGGCTTTAACGGTGCCTTTTGAAATGGAGCTGTTTGTAGTGAGGCACAGTGTACAGAGCTTGATTAAATGGACGCTGATGAACTCTGCTGTCTGGGGACCAAAGGTGCCTAAATATCATGTACTGCTCAAGGGTTTTAGAAAATCTACATCTCGAAATTGTTGTAGGAAATGCTTTCTGATGGTGAGACCAGTTCAGCTGTGGCAGCGCTGTCCTCTGGGATGCTTCCCGGCTGACCAAGAGCCACCGTCCCAATAGCCGGGAACAGTCCTGCTTGTTCGGGGACACGGCCTTCTCCGGATGCCTCTTGGATTTCTCGGGGGGAGAGGATCGTCCTCCCCGGCCACTTCTGTTAGGGCAGCGGCTGTGCTGGGAGCAGGACTGGGGTGATGCCAGTTGCAGGTCAGCATGGGTGTCGTGGTGGCCTGCCCTTTGGATGTGGTTAATCTGCCACGTGCCTCAACTTGGGTGATGCTAGGCTTTTTCTGGGTATCCCTGTAGGTATCCATATCCACTAAACAAGGCTGCTTGCAGGAGAGGTGCTTCCCCTCTGTGCTTTAAGCATGAATTCCCTTCTCCGCCTTTAAATCAGGAGCAAAAACAAAAGCAGAACTGGAGAGCTTGTTTGCCTTTACTGCAGCGTGATGGAGGATGCTGGAGAGCTGCCACCGCGAGGGATTCTGTCCTTTTAAATCCTTCACCTCCAAACTGCTGCATCTGAACTGCTCCGGGTGGGCAGCGTCTCTTCTTGATGAGATGCTAATATGGATCCGCACACGCAGCTCACGCTTGCCATAATAAAGCTTCTCTCGTATCCATTTGTCACTCGGATTTTTGCTTTGGTGAGGAGGAATCCACCATGCATTCCCAGTGGGAGTTTAACCTGTGCCTGCCCTAGATACTACGTACTGGTTAGGGCTTATGTTTTCTAGGGTCAAAAGCCTTTGCAGTGGGATGCGAAACGGGTGTGTGGTTTTTGGTCTAATGCGATGGCAACTGGTTAGCATCCTGCTTTGTGACAAGCCCTCCCCTCCCCAAGCCGTGTCCGTAGCTGTAGCAGCGCGTGTGATGGATCGATATCGTTAGTGAAGAGGTCTAACATGGAGGGGAGAGGAGGAGCCAGCACTTCAGCAAAAGCTGCCGTTGTGCAGGGAATTTTCAGCAAAATGGACACCCGTCTCTGGAAGCAGGCGGACCCAGGAGCTGCCTTGTCCTTAAGCCGGGTGTTTTCCCGCAGGCTGTGCTGTGTTACGCTCAGTTTGGGATCCCTCGTACGCAGATCAGCTGCTGTATATATTCCCTGTTTCTCCTTCCTTTCCTATGAGCGCAGCTAGCCAGAGAGCGGGCAGTGCTTTGCCAGCCCCTTGCTGCAAGGATGAAGGGTGTCCTGGGGTGCGTGCACCCTTACACTCTTGTTTTCTAGCAGAGTTTAGCTTTTGCTCCTCAGGACTTTGCTAGGGCTGTTTTAACGCTTCAGATCATATCACAAATGCGCAGGGAGCTGCAGGGAACTTTCCAAATGCTCTCACATCCTCAAAAATGGGTGGGCTTTGAGGATATTGGGGCTCCTGACTAGTTTTGTTTCTGGAATCACTGATTTGCCTGGAAAGGTAAAATGCCTTGCTTGGCAATTACTGCGGAGATGAGTATAAACAGACTCCAAACAGACGAGCAGTTATTGCATACAACTGACTTGGGTCTAGGGAAAGCAGGGACCCTTGGAGTCAGGCTGGAACAAGCCCGGGCCCCGAGACGCTTGGTTTCAGGTCCCTGCCACGCCCCAGACTTCCCATACAAATTTGGGCGTAATAGCTGGTTTCTGTACCATCAAGCTTTCTTCCATAAAACAGGGGAACAAAACTTCCCTGCCTTGCTGTGGTGTTATGGACGAGCACATTAAACTTCTGAGGCCCCTAGATGATAAGATAATTAGATAATTAGAAGCTTCTTGGCATCTTTATAGAAACTGGAGCTAGAATCTATTTCTTGGCCAACAGGTTCGACCCTCTGATTTCCTGGTAGAGCGTGTAAGAAGACTTTCCAAATGTATTTCCCGAGGGTGAGGTGGTATAGGTGGGAGGAACGGAGAAGTCTGTCACTGATCCACGTCGGAGGTTGGGGAATCAAGGAACACTGTCTCTTAAAGGGTACCGGATTCCACCGAACCTTTGCCTTAAAGGGTTTTTTGGCCTGGGAGCAGATGTTTGTATTCAGTCTGTGTCTCTCTGCACGTGTGTTTTGCAGTCACGCATTTATTTAGCTCCAGCAACCCGCTTTTGATCATCTCTTCCTTCCAGATGTGGGTCAGAGAGGTAGGGGAGTACAGGTCTCGCAGCAGAAGTTCAACCCCACTGCACTGCAGCGTCTCACCTCACTGCTGGCTTTGAACAAGAAACCTGTGTGTTGCTCGCTGGGTTACGGTGATTTGTCAGGCAGCGCTTCTCTCCCCAAAAATAGAGGAGATGAGTGGTCTCTGCTCAATAAATCAGCTTGATGCAGGTAGGAGGCATGCTGCGCTGGACAGGGAACGCATTTGGGGCTTGGTGAGTTAACTCTGCCGTTGGCTTGAGACGTGAGGAACGTGCTTGGTGTTTTACTTGACAAAAGAGGGAGAAATTTGTTAGCAGTCTGCATTTGGCTAATTGATCTTAGTTCCAGTAAAGTCGGATGTTGGCTGTATTTCTTGCATCTGATGGCATTAATGACTACGTTCTCCTTGCCTATCCATCTTGCCTAATGCACTGCCTGAGTTTATAGCCCCCTCAGTGGATTTAAGGACTGTCAGCTGAGGATCATCCCCAGCGGTTATTACTGCCTGACTTGGTTGTCTTGCGTGCTCACTTTGTGTGTGGACGGTGGTTTCATCAACGCTTGCTTGGACTTGCAGTTTTTTCTTCCTGGTGACGCTTGGTCGTGTGTCTTCAGGCCACATCAGGTCATGGTAAACTTGTTATCGGTTTCCGTGAGCAAACGGGGTGATGCTTTTTGTCCGGCATGGCCCACGTACTTATTTCTTCCTCCAAACAGACTCAAACTTTGCTCTAAAGGTCATTATTGAAACAATAACTTATAAAAGGACCTTTCTGAGCCCTGGTAGCCCTCTCCCTTTCCTGTTTTCTTTGAAGCATGCTGTGTTACCTGAAAAATGGCTTGCGAGAGGGACTGAATTGCTTGGCTTGCTTTTTTTGCAACTTTTAAATACTCTAATTATTTCTAACTACACTCTATTGACTCTTTCCTCCTCTGCCATCTGCAGACTGTTTAAAGGTAGGATTCTTCAAATGCGGAGCGTAAGAAGGATGGAGCTGAGAATTAGGAGTTTGTTTTAATCAGAAGTTGTGATCGGGCTCTTGCTGGGGGGCACAGTGACTGGATTCATTTGCTCCCGTGTCATCCTCGTAACGTGCAAATGTTTAGTGTATTTTGGACTTCCTTATTTTCAGTCTTTTTCAATCGAGGATGTTTTGGGGCATCTGTTCTCTTCTTTTTCTTTTTAAAGTAAACCCCTCCATTCCCCTCCCTCCAAACACCCCCGCCCCCTTCATTTTGTCTTGATTTGAGGTGGTTTTAAAAACAGAAAACCTGCACTTGGTGTCACTGTAGGTTTCCCCTTTAAAAGCAGAAATACATTTACGAGTGTACAAAAGGCCGAGTAGAGTAAACAATTTCTTAAAACGAAATTCAGGAGCTCAGAGGAAGGAACTGCTGTGGTTTCGTTCCCCCTGCCAATACCCCGACTGCTTCCAGAAATGCTGTAGTAGGCAGCAAGCAGTTTCCTCACCTCTCTCTAGATAAATGAATTCTGAGCCAGCCACAAATCACTCGGAACTGTCAAAGCAGACCTGTAACATTATTTTTTGAAATCCCAAGCCGTGTAGTCCATCATGGAGTAAATATTGAGAAGTCAGTAATTTCCACTGGAGAGTTATAAAGCTGCTGTCTCCCTCCCCTCTCCTGCAGCTTCTGCTGCGAAGGCTGCTCACTGCTTGTACAGTGGATGGAAAAGCTGGGAGGGGTAAGAGGATGAAGAGAAGGGAGGGACAGGCAATGCGAGAGCAGGAGACAGGACTGCGAGTGGAACGGCAAGCGTGGAGCTCGCTGCCTTCAGACAAAGCACGCCGCTGCAGCGCTCTGCAAGGATGCACAATTGCTTGGTGAGGGGACACGGCTGCCTGGCTGCTGGCGGACCAGCAAGGATCGACGGAAGGGAAGGATGGAGACCCCGGGCGAGCGGGAGCTTGTTGCATGAATTCCAGGTTTAGATGCTGCCCTTCTGCACAGGCTGTGTTTAGGGGAGGGAGACAGAAACCTTTTGTGATCTCTGCGTTTCTCGTGCTGCAGCGTGCGCTAGAAAGACTGGCCAGCGCTCTCGAACTCGCCGAGCGCGGCTCACCTGGCAGAGGAGCTCTCCTGTGGACCAGAGCAGCAGGATCCCTTACCCCGAGAATTTCCAGATAACACAGTGAGCTCTGTGTTGTGCAGCCATTGCAGCGGGCGGGGGTGGGAAGGATGGCTTGGAAGGTACCAAACAGCTTCAGCTGACCTGAAGGTTCAAAGAAAGCAAACCTGGTTTTCCTGATCATCTTTTTATTTGCATGTACCCTTGAAACAGATGTGCTAAGAAGCCTGAAAAATTCTGCCTGTCTTGCATAGCAAATTCCCTGATGAAAAGGAGATCTCTGAACTTTTTTTTGGTCATATTTAAGGTCTCGAGCTTTTCTAGAGGAGAGTAACAAGTCACTGGACTCTCTTCCCAGGGGTGAGGGAAGGGAGAGCTTGTCTGCACAGCTTCCGTAGGGTGTTGGGAAGAATCTCATTTATCAGAGGCTGAGAGGAGGTGCCAGGGCATGTCTCGGACTTGAGCTGCTGCAGGAAGAGGAGAGAGTGTGCTTGCATTTGGCTTCTTTTTGTTTTGACGTGGTTTGGAAGCAAGGAACTAACATGCCTCCTCCTCCAGAGCTGCTCCCTGTTTGAGTGAGGGGCTCGGATGCAGCAGCTGCGCTTAGCTGAAGAAAATGAAGGAAGGGCAAATACAAGCACGCACCAAACACCTGGCAGGACTGAATGTGTTGGGTGAAAACCGTACTGATTCCTCTGTCTCTCTTGCTGTCACCCAGCGCAGCGGTGTAGTTAGACTCTCCAGTGCAGCCAGCCCCGTCCGAGCGGCGTGCTGAAATGCCATGTGTCTGGATAGGCGGTAAAATGACAGTGCCAGGACTCTCAGACTCGTGCTCGGGGTCACTCACACCTCTGCTCCTCTTAACACCGTAACAGAGAGAAAAAGCCCTTACCATGGTTTGCCTCTTTCAGGACTGCTTGGGGAAAAAAAGTATAAGCCTTTCTTTTCTTCTGCTGCAGTTTGTGTGCTTTCTTTGTCTTGCATGTCTTCCTGTGGACAGCTGCTCTAGTCTGGCTTCTGCTGCTTTTCTGAAAGTCCGTCGTGTCTGTTTTGTGTCTCAGCTGCATGAAGATGTATTTTCTCTCTAGCTGCTTTGTGCCTCCAATGCGCCTGGCCCTCTCCGCTGGCCCGCTGAGCAGGGTAGTGCATCCGAAGTTGCATGGACGAGAGGACCTGCACAGCTCTGTGCGTTTGTGAGCGGCTCCACTCCATTCCCTCGGCACCTGCGACCTGCGAAGACCTCACAGTTTGTGAGCGGCTCCACTCCATTCCCTCGCACCTGCGACTGGCTGGGAATGCCTTGGGTGAAAGTTTGCTGCCCTCCTCCCGCCCCCTTCAGACGAGCCAAGGAGTGGATCCGCATCCCCGTTGGGTTGGGCTTCATATGTTTGCCTGGCAAGAAACTCGCCTGAGCCCTGAAAGCAGTGCATGTGATGTCATGGTCCTGGGAGTGCTTCTAAACAGTTTGCCTGGGCAAGGTGTTTCTTTTTCTGAGTGTTAACTGGGATACAAATTAAACCCGGAGCCCGCGGAGGCACTGGAAGCTTGTTGTCCATGGTCTGTGCACACAAGAGGAATTGTCTGCCGGCTGATTTGTTGTACTCTAAGCATAATTTTTTGAGTTTCTTTATGGTAATGACTATGATGTGGCAATGCCATCTGTCTTCCTCAGAGTGCCGCTGCTACCGCCTTAACGGTTTTTCCCTTTTCAAGCGTCTGCCGATTCCTCTCTCGTCAGGTTCGCGGATGCTGGAGCAGAGTGTCGGGGAGTGGCTGGAGTCCATTGGCCTGCAGCAATATGAGAGTAAGCTGCTTTTGAACGGCTTTGATGATGTCCGCTTCCTGGTAAGTTGCTGGGTGGGACCCGCGGGCTCTAACAAACGTGTTGGCCAAACCTTTACTTGTTGTTGATACCCCATGTCAGCTGCAGAGCAGATCTGGGTTCCGCAGCCCAGCGGAACGGTCTTGGGGGTGTGTAGAAGGTTAGACAAGGAAGAAACGAGGGTTGTGTTGGGCCAGGATCATTCATCTTCACATTTAATTCAGGTATTACAGTTTTTTTCACTATGATTTTGATATAAAATGTTACTTACTCTGCCCCCTAAATCTTTACTCTCCAGTTTTCTCCAGAAATGGGAACTGAAACTCACTAGTGTTTTAAAGAAATCACTGAGCAGTCTGTGTTCTGGACTATGAAGGAGGTGGTAGACCTCTTGTTGGAAGTATGCTTTCTCTAAGCATGCAGGCAGGATGTTAATGAGCTGTACTTAATTGCATTGACGCTGTTGGCTCTGAAACCTAATGATGACAAGACGGTAATGCTTAATGTTGAGGGTTTTTTTTTACTAACCAGTGGTTAGCACCCAGTGTCCAGAAACTTAAAGCTGCGTGGTGTAAAAATCTGAGAATTCGTACGGAATGATGAACAGCAAAGACAGAAAATCTTGGTGCTGTGGGAGGGTTCTTCCTGCTTGGCTTAAAGAAATGCTTTTTGAGCGTGGACTCCAAGTTTTGCAAATAAAGAATTTGTAAAAATGGATGTAAACCTTTGGAGAAGTCATTTGGGCTAATGTAATAGCCTGCCTTGGAAAGGGAGTGGGGGCAGCTCTTTGGTACTGTGGGCGGTGCAGAGAGGTGATATCCAGGAGAACGTGTGCTTGACAGCTGTATTGTGAGCTGGGTGAAGCGGGTTCAGAAAACACAGCGGCCATCCGACAGTGGTGAGGGTACGTGGAGAAAGGAGGGAAGACTGGATAGGGCATGGACGGAGGGGCGAGGAAGCGCGTGTCGGAGCAGCGTCAGTAGGGGTACTTAAAGGCAGGATGTAATTACGCTTTTAAAATACGACCTGACCAACAGGATAAATGTCCCTGTGAATGCTGTGGGATCTCCAAGCACCCCTAAAAGTTGAATACTGTGGCAGTATCCAGCCATACCTCCTGGCCTCCATGGTAAGCAGCTTATCCCTTTGTCTCCCCTTAGCCTGGCAGGGCCGACGCTCCCCGAGAGAGCTGGATTTTACTGTGGTTTATGCACCTTCAGTAGAGGAACCGCCGGCGACAGGCAATGGTCTTGCCACGCACCCTTCTGCCTCTGCCGTAGCCCGTTCGTACAGCTGTGCGTGGCACCTTCCCTCTTCCCTGGGGAGGATTTGGGGCGAGAAGCCCCGGGCGCCAGCGCCGGGCTCCAGCGCCGCCCGCAGCCATGCAGGACTAGGGACAGCTCCCGCCGCCGCTCCCCGGCCCTTCCTGGGGGGCTCCGGCCCCCCCCCGTGTCCCACCCAGCCGGTCCCAGCCCTTTGGTGGACCCTCGGCCACTGGGACTGCTGAGCTGCCGGCAGGCGCATTCAGCTCTGTGCGAGGTTTCGGCATCCCCTGCACGCTGGGGCGGTCTGATTCAACTTCTGGGATGCTCTGGAGATGGTATAATGAATTTAAATTAAATAGTACCCCATCGATCCCTGCTTGGGATCCTCTGCTGATGGATCTTTGACCTTTGTGGTATCAGTGGGCTGCTCTCCCTCCAGCAATTAGCAGATAAAAATGCCTTTACTCTGACTGGCCCTGCCTGACAAGTGTGATGATAGACCCCTCTCAGCACAGAGTTTAATAACGAAGGAAATCAACTTTCCACTTGTCCCCACAGAGGTAGGAGCTAGAGGCTCAGAAGCAGGAATTTTTATTGACTGTGCTTATTTGCAGTAAATAGCAACACTTAGCTGCAAACTGTCTGACGCAGAATTTTGTCATTTATAAGATGAAGGCAAAGGCTCCTTGTACGTGTCTCATAATGTGATTTTACGGTGTACGTGGTGGGAGTTGCTGGATCACGGCTGGATGTTTTTCTTCCCCAGCCAGTGCTGGGTAACCGCTCCCAGTGTAGGAAATCGGCTTCTGCTGGTTTCGGGAGGTGGGACGCTCGCCTCAGTCATTCCTCTCAATTTTAAAAGTTCAATTTAACAAAGATTTCCTGCAAACCCTGGCTGATTTCCATTTTGCTGCTTATCCCTTTTACTAGGAAGTTGACTCTGGCACCCATGCCAAGACTGGCTTTAAATCCTTTCATCCAAGTCCTGGGAACTTCAAGCTAATACAGTTGGCCCAGTATGAAGATTTAATGATTAAGGATCTTTTCCTCTGTGATGTTACTTGCCTTCAGCTTCTGATGTGGGAGTAAAACCTTCAGATACAGTATAAGTGAGGAACAAGTAGTTAATTTGTTTTTAGTAGTGATTTTGATGTTCTCAGATGAATTATTAAAGTTGTTGTAAACACTGAAGCTGGCTAGTGCAGCGAGTACTGAAAGGATCGGGACGCTTGGCTCCTGGCATGGCAGGCTGTCCGTTCCTTTTCTTTTTTACGTAACAATTTGTTTATTAACTGCCACTTTCAGTCGCTAACAAAGAATATTTCAAACTAAGTGGCATTATTTTCCTGGAGTTAAATGGTTTCTGTGAAAGGATTAGTCCCTATTAGGGCCTCATTATATTAAATATTTCAAGGTCCAAAGAATGCTGGGTAATGGTTTGCAAATTGCCAGATGGGCTATGAGGCTAATTAAGTTTTAGTAGCAAAAATTAAGAAGTCGGAGTCTTTTGATAGGGCAACGCTCTTGTTTTCTGTGTAAGATTTCGCACTGCATTACTCCCTGTCGGTAGTGCTGCGGGGTTTCTTTCAGTACGCCGAGGATGCTCCCTTTGCTGCTGCAGTCCCCAGGTGCCCGTTCGTGAGCAAACAAGAAGCTCGTGCGTTGGGCAGACAAGAAAAAACGTTGCAAGAGCAAACTGTTATATGTGTGGTGACAGTACAGCTGTAAAACAGAGGCAGCGTCCTTGAAAAGAGCTCTTTAATATACTGCCGAAGAATGCTGAGCCTGCAGTAGATAGTAACTTAAAGCAGGATTAAGAAAGCAGTCTAACAAAGAGCATATCCTGTAACTGCAGCGGGGACTGGGTGAAATCCGGTGTTTGGCGGCGCAGTGGCGTTTGGTGCTGTTCTTCGCTTAAGAAAAATAGCTGTTTAAAATGTACTGTCTACCCAGCAGGTAGTACGGAGTCGGTAAGAGACAAAAACTGGAGGGTGCAGAAGCCTGTGGCCCTTTTTAGTGCTCTTGTAGCCCTTCGTGTAGCCAGTTCTGGTTTCAGGAATTCCTAATTTCCTGTGTATTTTCAGTTGGCTCTTGTGTTAATTTGCACCCTGTATTACAAAAGCCCTTACCCCCCGATAAGGGAAATGACTCACGAAGGCACGGTATGGTAAAGCGATTTTGAAAAGTGCTCTGTAAATATATTTGGTTTCTTAATTAGATGTTAATCTAGGAAGGCAGAAACATGCATTGTTTTCAAGAATAACAATTCCGTTTTCAGAAATCCAGAGATTCGTTATTAGGTGATTAGGTGTGCTCTCCGGACACGCGACCGGCCGTCTCGCTGGTGATAGCTCTGTGCAAGCTGCATCTCCAGCAGCACCGAGGAGAACCGGTGAGCGGGGAGGGGGCAATAATCCTGCTCGCTCTCTCGGGGTCTGCTCATACGCTTTTAACAGGCAGCACTGAAAGCTGAAAGAGACTTTGAAGACCTCTTGACAGGTTTACGTTGAAGAGGCAGGGTTGGAGATGTAAACCGTAATGTGAGCCGTGAACATTTTATAGGTTTTCCTATAAAAAGGGAAGGTAGAAGTGTATTTTAGCAGATAGCTGGGGTGGGCTGTGAATGTCGAGCCGAGGCTTCTCTGCACTTGGGAATTCCAGCTCTGCACCTGGGACAAAGTTTTAGCAACTTCCCGCTGGAGGCCTCGCGCTCCAGCAGGAGCCCTTGCCCACAAGCCTGCGAGGTCAGCACTTCTGCTGTCAGCAAACTAAAAACTTCTGTTGCAGTTCAGGTCTGCTTTGGTAAAGAGAGTGATGACTGCAGTCAGGACTGACCCTCCTCGTGCGTCTGTCTCTACCAGTGCTGTTTCTCTTTTGGGGGAATTCAGGACAAATAATAGAGTATTACTTGTAGTACCCGTTGGTTCTGAGCGGTGTCAGACAGGGCTTGTCGGGAATATTCTCACTTTTGGAACTTGTAGAGATTTCTGAGGGCTTGTGAATTGGTTATCGGGGAAGAACGAGTCGACACAACCATGGTAAGGAGAAGGGAATCACAAGTGTTAACGCATAAATGCAGTGACTGTCATCCTGCCTGGACACAGCTAGTAGGTGTTTTAGGAACTGGAGCTGGGGTGGGACGCTGCAGACGGGCTGAGTTTGCAGCACTGGCCTCACTGATGCGTTGCTTTGTTCCAGCACTGAAAGCAGAGTTTCTTGATCGGTGTTTCCATGATGTAAAATTCTTGTTAAATCTGCAGAAGAAAACAAAATGCCGCGGCGTTTGATACGGCACACGAGAGCATCTCGGTGACGCTGACCGGTTTCACAGTCAAATGCAAAACCAAGAACACTTTTATGACTAGTTCAGAGTAAAGGATCTTGATCGAGTGTTGACTTCAGTCAAGGGTGGGTATCGCTAACAGAAGTCAGCAGGATTATTTAAACATCAGTTTGACGTGATGTTAAAGCTTACTTGCCCATGTACGTGTCTCTGGGAAGGGACTGAAGTCTGCCTTTATTTCAGATTGTGTGTAATCTCTTGGCTTGGTTGAGGAAAGAAAGGGGCTATAAAAGATGGATTTAGGTAGCTTAGTTTTCTAAAAGACTGAGTTCTCTTTCCAAATACCAACACCTGCATATTCGGCCACATTTCTGTGTCTGGAGAAATTGTTATATTTCCTTTAAGTTGCCTACAATAGCTTTGTTGTGGTGTTTACGTGCAATGCTTAGGAAAGAGGCTTTCCCTGGTTTTCTTG